AGAACTAGAAAGGCGAGGCTCACAGAGCCATTTATCCCTCTGCCCTTCAATTAACCCCACATGTGTTTATCAGCCAGGTTGGCACAATTAACTAACTCATCTAGGTACTAGAGGCGCGAAGATAAAGACACGGAAGTGTTTTAAAGCAAGCACCTTAGTGTAAATGGTTAAGTGTTCAACTACTAACCAGAAAGTTGGTGGTTGAAACCACCCATAGCCACTTTGGAAGAAAGGCCGGGCAATCTGCTTCTCAAGGTCAGAGCCCTAACCAAAGCCACTGCCACGGAGTTGATTCCACCCCCGAGCAACCTGACAGGACAAAGGGGCGCTGCTCTGCAGGGCTCCTGGGACTGTCCCTCTCCACAGGGACAAGCGGCTTCCTCTTTCCCCTTGGAGCAGCCAGTGAGTTCCAAGTGCCCACCTTTGAAGTGCTGACTTTGGAGAGCTAAGTGCCACCATGAGTTAGCAGCCCACTGAGTGAGCTCTGAACTCTAACACTTCCGGAGCTTCTGAAGGTCACCGCCTTGCAAACGCAGGGAGCACAGTCCTGCTCAGAGCACACACGGTTGCCACGAGTTGGCACTCATGCAGTGGCAACAAGTTTGGCTTTGTTGTTGTTGGCTCTCTGGAATTCATATCAGTGGGATGTCTCAGTTAGGTTCAAAAAGTGCTGCTGTCCCAGAGATTTATAGCCATGCAACTGCCCTGTACTTCCACACCACTGGCTCGGGGAAGGAGGGCGTTCTTACCCACCCCCTGGATTTTATTGTACTTATTGATATTTACTATCTCTTTAAACAAACAAACAAATGACCCTTTTCCCCTTTTACTCTTTCATGTTCTTGATTGATTGATTTTTACTCCCAAACTGCCGTGTCTTTTTGGAGCTTTCACTGGGCCAGGCCCGTGGCTGGGCTTCTCTGCTCAGACCACACACGCCACTCAGGAAATAAGCAGCTTAGTGATAAACAAGCCTCTCAGAACCCGGACAGAAAGGCGATGGGCCCTGGGGGCTACCACTTTATGGCCCCAGGGAGCTTTGCAGAATAATGTAACAGGCTCAAATTCCAGTCACACGCTCATTCTTGGACTTCATTCAAGGAGAATTAATTACAGAAGAACTTAAAAATATCTCATCTACAAGGCTGTCCTTGAGGGCATGTCCCCAAGTCAAGGTCAGGGTCTTGTGGGAGTGTACCTCTGCCTTCCTCACCTGTCCACCAAGGTGGCCCCAGGTGCGCTAGGTGGCCAACACTAATCTGTGGAATAAAAGAATGAAAGGATTCAGGATTGCTGCCATTTACACCTGCCATTAAAAGAGAGAGAATGCTTCCCAGAGACACATTGGGAAAAGTACCAAAGGGAGCTGCTGGATTTGCAGCAAGATGAAGGGCGAACCGAGCCAACAAAGAGAGACTGCAAGCCCAGACCACAGCACAATCAGCAAGTGTTCACACCTAAGGAGGGCGCTTTCCCATCGCCAGGGACCAATGTTAATTCCTAGCGACACTAAACCCAGCCTTTCTCCAACTGCCAACCATGAGCATCGCAGCCCAATGTGTAACCCCTACATCACCAAACCAGCCTGGGCTTTGAGCTGGTAGCGCCCGCTGGTGGCTGAAGCTGCCAGAGACCGGCAAGCACAGAGTAGGGCGCCGAGGTGGAGGGACGTCTAGGTGGTAGAGTAGTACTGAACTGGGGAGAACGCTCAGGGTGGAGGCTGAACTGAGCGCTGAGCATCCCAGGTGTGCCCTCCATGGGGAACTCCAGGCAACGGCAGGGACAACCAGTCACTCTCTAGGTGACTAGCATTTTGCTGCTTACTTAGAGTCCATGCTCAAGGGAGCAGCGAGCTGTTTTTGCTAATTTCCCTGTGGACGTCACAAGGCTGGGCTCCAGAGAGGCAGCAGATTCTTCTAGGCACCCCATGCTAACAGGAAAGTCCAGAGTCTGGAGATCCAAAGGCAAGGCAGACTGCTTGGGGGTTGAAGACCAGGCTCAGTGGCAACATGGTAAGTGTTCAGACTATACTCAGTCTTGACTTTTCTGCTTCCACCTATTTCTCAAAAGTGTATCTATCTAGGAAGAGGGGCTATTGTTTGCTGAACACTTACTATGTATCCCCTTATTGTGAATGCCTAGGATCTCCTTTAATCTTTACCGTGAGCCTGGGAAGAAAGAATCGTTCTTTCCCCATTTTCCAGACGAGGCAACTGAAGAGAGCCAGATTTGCTGCGTGGCCCATTACACAGATGGGAAGACCTGGGCTCAGAGCCAACTGTTCCTCTAAAACCGCAACAGCTGTCCTTTATTTATGCGCAGAGAGGTTAGGTAACTGGCCCAAAGCAGTAGAGCCACAAGGCACGGGAGTGGACATTTGTAACCCCTCCCTGGACTCATCGATGTTGTTTTATACAGTGCAGTCTCCTTCCGCAGCCAAGTGTACATAGCATAGAATGAGGTGTAGAATGTGGGAAAGTGCCTTTTCTAGGAGAAAAAATTAGCTAAACTTAGAAATATTTAAACTAAGAAAACAACAAAACAAAAGGCACCACCAAAAAATAAATTGTTTCTTGGGGTGCTTTGATGGAGGGAGTTAAATTATAGTTACAGCCAAGTAGTTCGAGAAAGATTTGGCCAATGAGAATCTCCACCTGTTGGGTGACTTAACTCACTTAACAATGATAGTTCAAGGGTATTGAAGAATGTGAGTACTGATTTGTAATTCTCACCTATTTTGATGTACAAGGAATATGTGCATCCTACTGAAAATGATATGTGACCGGGTGTGTTAGTCTGGGTACTTTAGAGAAACAAATCCACAGAAACGCATGTATAAGAGAGAGTTTTATATAAAGGTTAAGTGCGCATCAAGAAAACATCCCAACCCAGTGCTGCCCAAGCCCACAAGTCCAGCATTAACCCATATGTCTGACACAAAGCCACAAAGTCCTCCTTCATCTCACAAAACACACACAATGGTACCGACTGCAGGAGGAAAGCCAAATCAGTGAATGTGTAAGCATCTCAGCACTGGGAGAGGTCTCCACACGGCTGCTCCAGCACCCAGGGCTGCATTGGGGTAGGTCCATGTGGCTTCTCCTTAGGGATGTCTTGCAGGAAGTGAGCCTTGCCAACTAAAGCAGGGAACTGTCTAAGGCAGCTACACCCTGGTTTGACCATCACAAAACAAGAGACCCGAGAACTAGAAAGGCGAGGTTCATGGAGCCATTTATTTCTCCGCCCTTCAATTAACCCCACCTGTGTTTATCGGCCAGGTTGGCACAATAAACTAACTACCTCCCCTAGTATTCGAAGCACAAGCACAAAGGGGCTCCAAGAGAAGCTCCACAAATTACATGGGACCAGCCTGCCTGCTCCCTCTTTCTGCTCTGTCCAGACTGTTTGCAGTGGGTAGTTGAAGGGCATTCTTTACAGTCAGCAAAGGTGGGGCCCTTACCTTGGAATAGATGCTTGGGGCCTCCTGGGTGACCAGTTGTAGGGTTCAAGACCAAGTGCTGGACCACACGTTCCATTGACCCTAAATTAATGAAATGCATAAAATTCCAGCGTGCTTATAACCCAGAAAGGGAGACCAGCAAACTCCTGGTTGCACCTGTGCCTCAATTTCTTTTGCTACAAACAACAAGCGTGTAATCACCTAGAAAGCGTCTGACGTGGCCATGATCTTTTCATTAGACCACGCCCTCTTTTTGCCAAGATTGCTTGGATAAACAACTGATAGCTGTTTAAAATGCCTGGACAACAGCAGGGTGCATGGAGTGGGCTAAGCACTAGGCAGCCCTCTGCCAGCCATTCTGCAGGAGAAAGACGAGGCTCTGCTCCCGAACAAATTGACAGTCTCGGAAACCCAATGTAGGGTAGCTGTGCATCAGAATCAACTCAATGGCAGGGGATTCAGTGGCGTTTAAAGATTTTCAAGAGTTCAGACTTGAAGCTTTGGCCGAAAACAAGACCAAACCTATGGCCATCGAGGCTGTAAATCTGCACACAAGCAGTTACCCCTAGCTTATCTGACGGTTCCACCAGGGCTCCGTCAGCTCAGCATTTATTCATTCCATAAAGCCAGTCAAAAACCAAATCCACGGTCATCAAGTAGATTCTAACTCAGAGCACTAATATATCGGGTTTCAGAGATTGTAAAACTTTACTGGAGCATCTTTCTTCCTTGAAGCTACTGGTGGGTTACGAGTGTTCAGCTCACAGCCCAGCACCTCACCCGCAGTCCTACTGTGTGCCCGTCGTTCTCTTGAAAGTTTAGTCAATATGAGGAAGGTTTCGATAAGTTTGTGAGAAAATTCCATTACCTTTCAATTCCATTTTCCCACAAACGACTTCAAGTCCCCATGTGTGTGTGCACATACGTACATGTGTAACTGTGGATATATTATTATTAGCTGCCATCAAGTTGAGTTCCATGTTCAGTGGGCCACGTGTGCAGGGTAGGGCCGCCCCAAGAGTTTTTGAGGCTGTGAGCTCTTAGAGGGACATCCCCAGGCCCAGCTCCTGAGATGCCTCTGGGTGGGTTCAAACCGTCAACGTATCTGCTGGCAGTTGAATGCTTAACTGTGCCACCCAGGACTCTGGGTGGATAGGTAGATAAAATATGGGTTTGCGCATGAGAGATACAGTTTTAAATCTTTCAGTGGTAAGGACCAGAGAGGTCTATGAGTCCGGGGACACAGGGCCTGCCGGCTGGCATCTGACCAAAAGGAGTGGGAATAGTTCCACAGATAAGGCAGCATTTGAACCAAGATGTGCCGTCTGTTGCTTAGGTAACAGGGAGGAAGCATTGTGGGCGATAGGGGCCCTGATTTGGACATTGTGGGGGAGCACAATGGAGCAGGGTGGGAGACAAACTGTTTCTACACTGGAAGCATCAATGAAGACAATGGAGAGCAGTGGATCTCAACCTTCCTGATGCCACGGCCCTTTCATACAGTTCCTCAGGCGGTGGTGACCCCCCAACCATAACATTATTTTCGTTGCTACTTCATCACTGTCACTTTGCTACTGTTATGAATCAGGTGACCCTGTGAAAGGGTCGTTTGACCCCCAGGTTGAGAACCACTGTTTTAGAGAGTGGTTTGAATTCTAGGCTGGATAGGATGCAGGCAGATACATGGTTTACAGAGTAGAAGGCAAGGTGGCTAGGAAAAGATCTGGGACCCGGAGAAGAGGGCTTTGTGGCGGGGAACTGGAAGTGCAGCCACACGTCCTGTTCCCTCAGCACTAGACTCTTTGCCTTTGAGAAATCCTGATAGGTGGATATCCAAACAGAGAAGATGAACCTCCCTCCAGCCTGGTATGTGTGGAATCAAAGGATTCTTCACTCTGAGAAGAAATCTCTTTTAAAACGGAGTGCCCCTTTCTTTCTAATATAATTCAGTCACCCACAAGCCCTTAGGGGCTGTGGAGAGTGGGGTGATCTGCATTGAGTATACTGGACCCCATGAGACAGAGACATAGAAGAAGGGCATATATAGATATATCTTTTATGCAGCACTGCTGTAGACAACCCCTTCTCTTGACTCGATACTGTCGTCCGCTATTGCTGGTATTTTCTTCTTATATTTCACTCTATTCCTTACATCTTCCTCCACATACATTCTCAGACATAGATTCATTTTTATAAAGAGTAGAAAGTTTGCCTTTTCATTGTCTTTGTGGAATTGACATAAGCAAGATCCTTCCTCACCCTTGCCATGGCCGCTGCTGTTTGCGAACACTTTGTTCTAAGCCGGTTTCTGATACAACGAGCTCTGTCTTCCTGACTGCCTTTCATTGTAATCTGACTTCAAACGCAGTTCATGTGTGCTCTCCATGGACACACAGGAGTGACGTATGGGCTGCAAGCTTTACACCGGGTCGGGAAGGAGCACAGCTACGAAACGCAGAAGTTCACGAGAGGAACGGAGGGGCTCTCGTTCATTTCCCCAGGAGGGGCCTTGCGCGCTTACTGAAAGAGAGCAGGTGATGTCTGTGGTTGGGGCTTCCATATTTCATTCTTATGCACCACTTTCCTCTTGTTTTGTGTTCTAGTATGGCTTTATCAACACCTGTCTGCAGTCTCTTGTAATAGAGAAATTTGGTGAAGAGATCTGGGAAAAACTGAAGTAAGTATTAAAAGAACAATGAATGTTTCCGGTATGATTGGTAAGCCTCAAGCATTTTTTTCTAATCATTTTATTGGGGGTTCATTCAACTCTTATCACAATCCATCCATCCATTCATTGTGTCAAGCATATTTTTACATCATGAATGCCAGGCTAACAGAACAAAGTGTTCTTGCATTGAGGGACTACTTGAGTAGAGGCCCAATGTCTGTCTGCTACCTCAATCCTAAACTTATAAATCTATGCACATAGATGTATTTCCCTATTGTCATATATAAATATATTTACAGATGTACATGCCTGTATTTAGACCTCTATAAATGTCCTTTGCCTCCTAGTTCTTTCCTCTATTTCCTTTTACTTTCCTCTTGTCCCACTATTATGTTTGGCCTTCATTTGGGTTTCAGTAATTCCTCTCGGTTACATTGCCCTTAGTTAAGCCCTACCATGCATCCTACACCAATCCACAAAGTCCTCCTCCATCTCACAAAACAGACGCAATGATGCGGACTACAGGAGGAAAGCTGAGTCAGTGAATGTGTAAACATCATAGAATACCAGTTTAATGGAATAAAGGATTCTTGCATTGAGGGAGTACTTGAGTGGAGGCCCAATGTCCATCTGCTACTTTAATACTAAACCTATAAATATATGCACATAGATCTATTCCTCCATCCCCATATAGAAATATATTTACATATGTATATGCCTTTATTTAGACCTCTATAAATGCCCTTTGCCTCCTAGCTCTTTCCTCTATTTTCTTTTACTTTCCTCTTGTCCCACTATCAAGCTCAGTCTCCATTTGGGTTTTAGTAATTCCTCTTGGTTACATAACCCTTGATCACACCCTACCCGGCCTCCTACTAATGTGTATTTCTCTTATTACTAATGAATGCAAATATTTCTCTATATGGTTGTTGATTGCCTGGATGTCATTTAAAATAAATTGTTTATTTAAGTCTTATGTCCATATTTTTCTTATGCCCATTTTTATTGAGTTATTCTTCTTGTTAAAATGTTGTGGTTGGGGAAAAAAAGATATTGTGGTTTTCTGTAGGTTTTGGAGACGATTCCTTTATCTGATCTATTATTACTGAATCCCCCCGCTCCCCAATCTGTGGGCTCTCTGTTGACTCTTTTGGTGAAGTCTTTTGATGTGCATAAATATCATATTTTTAGCAGGTCTCAGTTCTTTTGTGGATTCTATTATGTAGATTTTTGATTACATTCAGTAGTGTGTTTATGCCTTGTCTTAGGGTCCATAAGTTTGTCCCTATTTTCCATTGATGGCCTTTGTAATTGAGTAGTCTATGTTTAGGTCTTCAGTCCATCTTGAGTTTGCTTTCCTACATGGGTCTCATTTCCTTCTGTTGCAGTTGAAGATCTAGTTTTACAGCACCATTTGTTGAAAAGGCTATCTCTTGCACATTTAAAGTGTTTTAGTCTTTTACCAAGATTAGATGTTTATAGGTACTTATTTGTATTTCTGGGTTCTCAACTCTAATCCATTGGTCATCATTATATCAGTACCAAGCTGTGTGTGTGCGTGTGTGTATGGTACTGGCTTTATTTTCTTGGATTATGTCAGACAAAGCTTCGATGGGGTGACTGCCCATTCCCACCTCTCTTTTCTCTACCGTATGGACAGAATGAAAATCCCTTTGTCCTCACTGTGATAATTTTGATGTTTTTCCCCTTGGGTAGAAGATTTCATTATAATACTTTAATTTGTCTTCTCAAGTTGCCCATTGAAAGGTTCTGTTCAACTGTTTTCCTTCCTCACTTCTTCCATTTGCTTTAGTTATACTTCCACCAAGGGCAAGATTCATAGTTTCTTTGATGTTGACTTATTTTTTTAAATAAATGATTTTATTAGGGACTCTTACAGCTCTTATAACAATCCATACATTGATCATATCAAGCACATTTGTGCATATGTTGCCATCATCATTTCCAAAACATTTTCTTTCTACTTGAGCCCTTGGTATCTGTTCTTTTTACCCACCCACCCCTCGCCCACCCCCTTGCCCTCAAGAACCGTTGATAATTTATAAATTATTTTTATTTTCATACTTTACACTGCCCACTGTCTCCTTTCACCCATGTTGTTCACCCCCCTGGGTGAGGGCGGTTGTGTGTTGATCATTGCGATGGGTTCCCCTTTCTTCCCCTCTCCCCCCACCTTCCACCAACCCTGATGTCCATCCGCCTCCGTCATTCTTTTCTCTCTTGTGAATGACTCTTTGCTTTCTTCATGCAGGATCCCAGACTCTTTTTATTATTGTGGCTGTACAATAGGCCTTAAAATCTGGGTGTGAAGTGCATCCTACTTTGTTTTTATTTTTTTAATAGTATTTTATTTATTCTGGGTTTCTTTTCTTTACATACAAAGTTGGTGATTCATTTTCCCATTTCTTTTTTTTAAAGAATTGTGGTGGAATTTGGATCAGAATTGCACTGAATTTGTGAGGTGATTTTGGTAATATTGATGTTTTTCACTAGTTTTAGTCAACATATCCAAGAACATGATAGATTATCTGTGAAAATCTATTTTTATTTCTTATAGGAGTGTTTTCTAGTTTTCTTTGTATAAGTCTTTTGTGTCTCTGGTAATATTTATTCCTAAAATTTTATCTTTTGAGTAGTTATTGTAAATAGTATTGTTCTTTTAATATATTTTTCAGAGTCATCTTTAATATACAGGAATCCAACTTATTTCCGTATGGTGGTCTTATAGCTGGTTATACTGCAAATATTTTCAATTCATTTCAGGAAATTTTTAATTGAATGTTTGTGATTTTCTACATATAGGAATATTTTATCTGCAAAAAATTGCTTCTTCTGTGTCAATGAGGTTGCCTTAATATCTTTTTGATATCATAGTTTTGCCTAAGACTTCCAGGACTATATTACATAAGAATGTTGATAAAAGGCAGCCAAAGGGGAATGTTTTCAATTTCTCTCCATTAATGAGTTGCTAGACATTGGTTTTGCATATATGGCCTTATTATGTTGAGGAATTTCCCTTCTGTTCCTATTTTATTCAGTGTTGTTATCAAGAATGGACATTGAATTTTATCAATTGTCTTCTCTGCATCAATTAATATAATCATATGGCTTGTATCCTTTATTTTCTTCATGTGGTGAATTACATAGATCATTTTTCTCATATTAAACCATCCTTAGATATCTAGTATGAATCCCAATTGTTTTTGAATGCTTTGTTAAATTCTGTTGGCTAGGATTTTATTGAAAATCTTAGCGTCTATATTCATCAGCGATATTGGTCTGTAATTTTCCATTCTGTTGATGATGTCTCTGCCAGACTTTTGCATCAAAGTTATACTTGCTTCATAAAATGAGTTTGGCAGTATATTGTCCATTTGTGTATTGTGAAATAGCTCATGGAAGATTGACGTTAACTCTGCTCTAAATGTTTGGTAAAATTCTCTAGTAAAATCGTCTGGTCCCAGATTTTTTGATGTTGGGATTTTTTTTAATGACCAGATCTATTTCTTCTTGTGTTATAGGCTTGTTGAGCTTTTCTACTTCAGTCTGTGGTAAGTTAGGTAAATAATGCATTTTTAGAAATTTATCCATTTCTTCTAGGTTTTCAATTTTTTAAAAATTATTTTATTGAGGGCTCAGACAACTCTTATCACAATCCATCCATCCATCCATTGTGTCAAGCACATTTGTTGCCATCATCATTCTCAAAACATTTGCTTTCTACTTGAGCCCTTGTTATCAGCTTCTCATTTTTCCTCCTCCCTCCCCCCGCACCACTCCCTCATGAACCCTTGATAATTTATAAGTTATTATTGTTTTGTCATATCTTACACTGTCTGACGTCTCCCTTCACCCACTTTTTTGTTGTCCGTCCCCAGGGAAGAGGTAATATGTAGATCCTAGTAATCAGTTCCCCCTTTCTACCTCACCTTCCCTCCACCCTCCCGGTATTGCCACTCTCACCACTGGTCCTGAAGGGATCATCTGTCCTGGATTCCCTGTGTTTCCAGTTCCTGTCTGTACGAGTGTACATCCTCTGGTCTAGCTAGATTTGTAAGGTAGAACTGGGATTATGATAGTGGGTGGGGAGGAAGCATTTAGGAACTAGAGGAAAGTTGTGTGTTTCATCAGTGCTGCTCTGCACCACCCTGACTGGATCGTCTCCTCCCTGCAACCCTTCTGTAAGTGGGTGTCCAGTTACCTACAGATGGGCTTTGGGTCTCCACTTTGCACTCACCCTCATTTACAATTATATGATTTTTTTTGTTCTTCGATGCCTGTTACCTCATCCCTTTGACAACTCATGATCACACAGGCTGTTGTGCTTCTTCCATGTGTGGTTTGTTGCTTCTCAGCTAGATAGCCACTTGTTTACCTTTAAGCCTTTAAGACCCCATATGCTATATCTCTTGATAACCAGGCACCATCAGCTTTCTTCACCACATTTGCTTATGCACATGTTTTTAAATTTAATGGAATACAATTTTTTCATAATATTTTGTCATGACTTTTGTATCTCAGTTTGTTCTGTTGTAACGTCACCCATTTAATCTTTTACTTATAAAATTTTCTTCTCCTTTTTTTAGGTTTGCCTGTGGTTTACTAATTTTGTTCAGCTTTTCAAAGAACCAACTTATTGTCATATTAATTTTTCTATAGTTTCTAAATTTGTTGACTTAATTTCTGCGCTAACCTGTATAATTTCTTCTTATCTCCGAGGGATTGTTTTGCTAGTCTTTTCCCAATTGTTGTAGTTAATGTGTTATGGCTGTTTATTTTAGTTCTTTCTTCCTTTTTGATATGTGCATTTATTGCTATATACAGCCAAAGGACCAACTTATTGCCTTGTTCATTTTTGTTTCCTTCTTTTTTTTCCTGATTCCTTTAATTCTGCTCTTATTTTTATGATTTTTTTCTTCTGGGCTAATGGTTTATTTTGCTGCTCATGTTATAGTTATTGGAGATGGAGTAATGTGTTGATCATATTT